TGCTAAAGTAGGAAGCCAAAAGATAACTGGAATAACAGGCAAGTTTGGCCTTGGAGTACAAAATGAAGCAGGGCACAGGCTGATAGAATTTTGTCAAGAGAATACAATGGTCATAGCAAACATTCTTTTCCAACAACCCAAGAGACGGCTCTACACATGGACATCACCAGACGGTCAACACAGAAATCAGATTGATTATGTGCTCTGCAGCCAAAGATGGAGAAGCTCTATACAGTCAGTAAAAACAAGACCAGGAGCTGACTGTGGCTCAGATCATGAACTTCTTGTTGCAAAATTTAGGCTTAAATTGAAGAAAGTAGGGAAAAGCACTAGGCCACTCAGGTATGAACTAAATCATATCCCTGATGAATATACAGTAGAGGTGACAAATAGATTTAAGGAATTAGATCTGATAGACAGAGTGCCTGAAGAACTATGGACGGAGGTTCACAACATTGTACAAGAGGTAACAACTAAAATCATCCCAAACAAAAAGAAATGCAAGAAAGCAAAATGGCTGTCTGAGGAAGCTTTGCAAATAGCTGAGGAAAGAAGGGAAGCGAAAGGTAAAGGAGAAAGAGAAAGATACACCCAATTGAATGCAGAATTCCAGAGAGTAGCTAGAAGAGCTAAGAATGCCTTCTTAAATGAACAGTGCAAAGAAATAGAAGAAAACAACAGAATAGGGAGGACCAGAGATCTCTTCAAGTAAATTGGAGATATGAAGGAAGCATTTCATGCAAAGATGGGCATGATAAAGGACCAAAATGGCAGGGACCTAACAGAGGCAGAAGACATTAAGAAGAGGTGGCAAAATTACACAGAAGAACTATACAAGAACAAGCTCAGCATCCCTGATAACCACGATGGGGTGGTCACTGACTTCGAGCCAGACATCCTAGAACAGTGGTGGTGAACCTATGGCATGGGTGCCAGAGGCGGCACTCAGAGCAGTCTCTGTGGGCACACGCGCCAACACCCCAGTCCTAGGCCTTCAGTTGGGTTTTATAAAATCTTTTCGCTTTAGGCCTCCACTGCAGTGTGCAAAAAAAAAAAAAAAAGGTACAATCAATCAGTCAATTTCAACTTCTCTCAGGAAAAAACGTCTTGTAAAGTTGGAATTGATTGATTGAACTTTTTAGTCCCACCCAGTCTGCCGTTACCACAGCAGCCACGCCCAGCCAATGGGCTACACCCAGACAATGGGCCACACCCAGCCAATAGGCCACACCCAGCAATGGGCCACACCCACTCAGCACCCGATGATGCATAAGTGGATTTTGGGTTACAGTTTGGGCACTCGGTCTCTAGAAGGTTTGCCATCACTGTCCTAGAATGTGAAGTGAAATGGGCCTTAGGGAAGCTGAGTAACAATAAAGCTAGTGGAGGTGACAGTATTCCATCTGAGCTATTCAAAATCTTAAAAGACGAAGCAGTAAAAGTGTTACACTCAATTTGCCAGAAAATTTGGAAAACTCAACAGTGGCTACAGGATTGGAAAATATCAGCTTACATTCCAATTCCAAAGAAAGGCAATGCCAAAGAATGTTCAAACTATCGCACCATTGCACTCATTTCACATGAAAATAAAGTTATGCTTAAAATTCTACAAGCTAGACTCCAGCAGTATGTGGATCGAGAACTTCTAGAAGTACAGGCAGGATTTTGAAGAGGCAGAGGAACTAGAGATCAAATTGCCAACATACACTGGATCATGGAGAAAGCTACGGAGTTCCAGAAAAACATCTACTTCTGCTTCATTGACTATGCTAAAGCCTTTGATTGTGTGGATCACAACAAATTGTGGCAAGTTCTTAAAAAGATGGGAGTACCAGACCACTTTATTTGTCTCTTGAGAAACCTATATGCGAGTCAAGAAGCAACAGTGAGAACTGGACACGGAATCACTGATTGGTTTAAAATTGGGAAAGGACTCCGGCAAGGCTGTATTCTGTCACCCTGCCTATTTAACTTATATGCAGAGCACATCATGAGAAAGACAAGACTAGATGAATCAAAAGTTGGAATTAAGATTGCCAGGAGAAATATCAACAACTTAAGGTATGCAGATGATACCACTCTAATGGCAGAAAGTGAAGAGGAACTAAAGAGCCTCTTGATGTGGGTGAAGAAGGAAAGTGCAAAAATTGGCTTGAAACTCAACATTAAGAAAACCAAGATCCTGGCATCCAGCCCTCTCAATTCCTGGCAAATAGATGGGGAAGAAATGAAGGTAGTGACAGATTTTATCTTCCTGCGCTCCAAGATCGCCACAGATGGGGACTGCAGCCAAGAAATTGAAAGATGCTTGCTCCTGGGGAGGAAAGCTATTGCAAAACTAGACAGCATAGTAAAAAGCAGAGACATAACCCTGCCAACAAAAGTACGTATAGTCAAGGCCATGTTTTTCCCAGTTGCAATGTATGGCTGTGAAAGTTGGACCATAAGAAAGGCTGAGCGCAAAAGAATTGAGGCCTTTGAACTATGGTACTGGAGAAGACTCCTGCGAGTCCCCTGGACTGCAAGGCGAGCAAACCGGTCAGTCCTAGGGGAGATCAACCTTGACTGCTCTTTAGAAGGCCAGATCCTGAAGTTAAAACTCAAGTACTTTGGCCACCTAATGAGAAGGAAGGACTCACTGGAGAAGAGCCTAATGCTGGGAAAGATTGAGGACAATAGAAGAATGGGACAATAGAGAATGAGGTAGCTGGATGGAGTCACTGAAGCAGTAGGCGTGAGCTTAAATGGACTCCAGAAGATGGTAGAGGACAGGAAGGCCTGGAGAAACGTTGTCTATGGGGTCGCGATGGGTCGGACGCAACTTTGTAACTAATAACAAGCATTGTTTAGAATATTTCTGGAATAGATTTCATAATGTTATACACCAAAATGTAGGAGGGCAAAAAGAAAACTAAAATATTAATCTCAACCATAAGTATAACAAACACATTCTAAGAAGGTTCTATATTATGACATTTCCAGAATAGTTTATATTTAAAATATGTTCACTTTTGGACACATTTTACAGTGTGAAAAATGGCTATTATTGGTCTTCTTCCTGTTTCCTATTTCCATCCCTGCAGCAGCCTCTCTGGCTACCCCTCCTTGCTGATTTGAAATAGGCCAATGGGAGAAGTTCATTCACAATGACTTTCTTTGAGATACAACAGCTACTCTTCTCTTTCTTTCTATACCCTTTTGGTACAAGATTGGGTGGGGGGAATCACATCTCTATACATTTAAAGGACAAATTATTTTGATCTTGCAAAAATATAGTTTGTGATGCCAACAAATCCAAATTCGCTCAGAACAAATTCATGCAGTTTACTTAAGTTCTGAACAGCCAGCTGCTCCCAAATTTGAGACATCACCTTGTGTGATTCGTTGTACACTAGGCATCATTATAGTTTTCAAAGAACTGTCTGTTAAACTACTGTAAAAACAACAAAGAATTTTGCAGCATTTATTTATTACAACATAATTTGTTGTAGAACATCATCAAATATATTAATATGAGGAAGAAATACATACAACCCACAGGAACTGGGGGGGGGGATTAAATTTGAACTACATCAGATTTTTGAAGATTTTAAAAAAGATTTATAATACTTGGATTTTATGGCGGTTTTTGATATACTATGTATACTGTTTAGAATTACTTTAAGAAGCAGCATACAAATAATTCACAAAAACAAATAACCATGGCTAGAAGTAAAAAATAGAGTCAGAGAGAAAGGAAATGCAGTCAAAAATGGAAACTCCTTGGTCAGTCACAAAACTGGAAGGCTGAAATGCATACATACTGTGTGATAAAACAATTATCCTGGAAAATGAAGGAATACTGTGTGACTGCCTTAAATGTGGGTATTTTTCAATAAAATTACTTCAGCAGAATTACTAAGAATATCATTAAAATAGTTAGGTTTAAATTAAAAATATTGGTTTTGTTGATCCATTAAATAATACTTACCATACTAATGAATTAATAAGATTTCTAGAATGACTATGTCACATCCATACTTTTTTTTCTGAAATGATTGCTTTCAATATATACTCAAAACTTTCTCTGCAATATGCCAATTCATCTCTCCTCCCCCACCTTTATTATTTCGGTCAATCCTTGAAACTATGGATAGTATGTACTCATCTGTTAGCATATTTTATTCATTTAACAAAGTAAACAGTAATAAGAAAAATCAAGCTATAATAAAAGTATTATTTGTCTTTTAAGATGTCTTCCTTATTTTAAATTCCTTTTTGGAAATAGATCAGCAGATATCTGAATAGGCTGTCAGACTGGAAGAATTTGTCTTTTTCTTGACATTTCACTACAGCAGGGAAGGACTACTAAACCTGCACAGATACCTGATTATTTTAACTTCAGTAATTAATAGGCAGAAACAGATTGTAGAAAATGTGGGGAAAATGATGTACAGCTTAAGATCAGATCTTTATACAGATTTGGGGCACAAACTTCCCTACCTGTGCTGTTAAATGAGCTGTTTGAAACTACAGAATACTGAAGATATTATCAACAGCACAGGCCCTCAAGGGATTCTATTCTGCTCATGACAGCTCACTGGTTTTGTGAACATCTTCCTGATATAAAGTTATCTAGTGTCTCTGTCTCAGTACCTCTATTATATCTTCCAATTGCTGTGATATCCCTTCTAGTACATTTATCACCTGTTTTTTTGTTTGTTTGCTGTTTCACCACAGTTTTTAGACTTCTACCCATTTTATAATAGTTCCTCAAGCTTAATCTCCCAGGATCTTTCTTATCTAGTCCTACTTCTTAAAGTTTCATAATAGAAGTGATGTGCTGAGCTGTTAATGATTTTATTTGTTGACAGTGACCTATTACCTTATCAGGAAAAAATGCACAATTTTCTGAGGACATATTGGCTGCTAAAGTTCAGAAACTCAGTTCAACCCAGAGAGAGAGAATTGGCTGAGTTTGAACAGCAAGACATATAAGTTCGATCCTTCAACATATTTACCTGTATTTCTTGAATGTGATATGCTCTGTGAAATACTTTCATTGCGATATTTATCATTAACTGATTGAGAAGATATTCTAGTTTCAGAATCCAGCAAAATTTGATTCTCACAGGTAGTAATGCCTGTAAAGTCACTGGGTAAATTGCAGTCCTCAAAGTCCGTGGTGAAATGATGTAATGGAGAATCTTGAGGAGGGACTGAAAAGCCACCTTCTAAAACCAAAGGTGATTCAGGAGGAGATAATGATGAAAGGGAAGATCTTGAAGAGAATGATGTGACAGATTTAGGAGGCTCAGTTATTTTGGGTGCATGACTTGCTGTCAAAGAACTGGAAGAGTCACTATATCCCATTTTCTCATGGGAGCTGACCACTTCATTTTCATGAATGGTGGTAATAGGGCCAGAAGGAATATAACCACATTTCTCTTGTAATACGAAGTCCAATTTATATTGATAGTCTAAATCTACAAGTTGATCACCTTGGCTGTAGTAGAGGTCTGTAGAGTTAAGAGAATTCAGCGACCCCCTACTAGATGTATTCAAGGACCCTCGACTAGATGCTAAAGATCCCAAGCTGCTCCCTGAAGACACAGATAACGTACTGGCAGAGAGGCTGCAACAAAGAAGCAAAGATCTGTCATTCTCTTCTATCAGCAGTATAATCAGATGATCTCAAACCACATATAAAACTTAAAATTTAATCCCTGTTGGTCATGACATTGACAAGTATAATGGTATCTTTTAAAAGGAACACATTTAAAAATGTCTGAATACTACCAAAAAGAAATTTCAGATGACAGTGTATTAACTATAGCAGCAACACGACTTCCTTAGATGGCTCCTTTTAAAAAACATATAAGCAAACATGGCTGAAAAAAAATCAGTCACTTTATTTATAATTCTTTTTTTAAAAAAAATCTCTGATTTTTAAATATATTAATTTGTGTGCAATACTGCACAAAATTGTGTGACAATCTCTACCACTTTAAAATATTGTTGATCACTGTAACAGTTTCACGAGGACACATTAGAAAGTACAATTAGAACAATAAGAAAGTAGTTTTGTATTTAGCAATGTACAATACCTATCTAAATTTATTGGACTATTAGCTTAGTTTCAGATCACTGTTTGAGATATCCCATTTTTCCCATTCTGGTATTTTCTACTCTAATGGTGGGTAAAGTACACAAACAAATAATACAGTATACCCAAATAGAAAGGAAAACAAAAGGATTTTCATATAACATGGACATTTCTGAGTTTAAGGAAATACTGCTTTCTTCACTGGTTATTAATAACAGTAAATGCTCTCTCAATAAATGGATTCACATTAGTGCAGTGCTGCCCTTAAAGAAAGACGGTACTATGAAATCAATAAAAAGAACATTAATAGAAGCTATTCCTTAGAGATTGTCATTTGCATTTGTGCACAAATGTGTTGAGAAAATGAGCATTTGAATTAAGATGCAGTTTACTTATATTCATCATTTATATCTTTCATGTTTGCCTAAATGATTTAGGTAGTCCTCGATTTATGACCACAATTGAGCCCAAAATGTCTGTTGCTAAGCCAGTAATTGTTAATTTTGCCTCATTTTATGACCTTTCATTTCAATGTTTCCATGTGCAAAACAGATTGCTGCTCATAGTAGAAACAGCCAACATATTTGTTTCACTATTTCCCACGAATGTAGCCTGAATAATATAGGGAAAAGGCTATCACAGATCAGTCATGTATGTTCTTTGCTGGACAAAAAGTTTGCAGTTCAGGACTTAGACAATAGATAACCAAGCTTTTAGTATGAAGGCATCTTTACAAGACACACTTCCAAGTTAATATTTCACCTAAATCAATAGATAATTCAGAAATACAGTATGCCAACAGTAGTTTTGGACAAACTATTAACATTTGTCAAAAATTTAGTGTAAAGAAAATTATCTCACCTTTTAAGCTGGGAATGTAAATGGGTGGTTAGGTGACTAGTTTCTTCAAGTTTTTTAACCAATTTATTTTTTCTATCTTCTAATTTCAACCTAGAAGATAAAAAAGCTTATGTGTCAATATATAAATGCATATACATTGCAAAGAGAACCTTGCTCTAAAAGCATAATGACAAATAGTTGAGGGCAACTTATTTAAGTTCATCCAAACCACAAGTCAAATGGAAATTTTCAGGGCAACTGAAGGATTATGGTACCAAAGTACATTTGTACTATACCATTAATATAACGTTTAATTGATTAGTGTTAGTTAATGGCCAATACATATTTCCTATTTTTTGGGGGGTGTCTGAAAATCTTTCAAAACATTTTCATTTTGTTCTCTTTCTCAGATTCTGGCCATGAAATGATTCTGGAAATATCTTAGCCCTGGCTAATAGGTAATGACATAATAATTCTCAGACTGTTAAGAATTAACTGATGAAATACAAGTTATAGGTGCAGAACAGTCTATTTAGTCAATGTTGGACTATGCAGTCATTAGCTAAGAATCATTTGAAAGTATCCTACATCTATTATGCTTGCATTTTAGGCAAAAATCTCTGTAAGCCTTTGTAATTATATTTATCCGGGGAACAGCATATATGAGAACAAGCATAAAAATCCTAAGCTAACACTGTTTTTTTTTTCAAATATTAGCTTTTTTTTTCAGAAAAAGAAAAAAAGAACTATATTTAATTATTAGCCATTGAGTGAAAAATCCACGTCAATGGATTTAAAGTAATCAAGTTCTATATGCATTATGCGCAAATAAGAGCTGGGAAAGAAATATGTTCCTTTTTCAAGAGACTCATTTGTTTAGTCTTTGACATTCTTACCTTCCACAAATCATTTGTGACACTTTTGTTAAAATATTTAACTGTGCTAACTTTAATATTTGTTCATTTTTTTCTAATGATTTTACACACACACACACACACACACACACACACACACAGATTGTTACCTTTTTGCTGCAGAAAAAAAATCTAAACCAAATAAATATTTTCTTGGTTTTTTGCATTTTTTTGGGGGGGGGGGGTGCCTTCAAGTCAGTGTTGATTCCTGACTGCCTGGACATGTCCTTGCAGTTTTGTTTCAAAATTTCAGAAGTAGTTTGCTGTTTCCTTTTTCTCATGGCTGAGAGAAAGTAACTAGCACAAAGTCACCCAGATGAGACTAGAACTCATGGTTTCATGGATTCTAGCCTGGTACCCTAATGACTATACCAAACTGGCTCTCATTTTAGTTTTAAAGGTACTCAATAAATAAAATAATCCCAGCTGTATATATATATATGGCAAATTGAAAGTTAAGGCATTTGATAAAGTAGACCACAACCTGCTACTAGATAAGATAGAAAAATGTGGGTTAGGCAGCATCACTACCAGATAGATTCATAATTGGCTGACCAACTGCATTCAACATGTAGTCCTCAATGGAACTGCATCTACATAGAGGAAAAAATGCAGTGGGTACCCCAAGCCTCTGTTTTAGGTCCAGTACTCTTCAACACCTTCATCAATGATTTGGATGAGGGGATAGATGGGGAACTCATCAAATTTGCAAATGACACCAAGCTGGCAGGAATAGTCAATACTCCAGAAGATAGGCTTAAGATATAGCAGGATCTTGACAGACTTGAACACTGGGCACTAACAAAATGAAATTCAATGGTGGAAAAAGTAAGGTTCTACATTTAGGCAAGAAAAACCAAACGCACAGGTATAGCATAGGTGGTACCTTGCTCAACAGTAGTAACTTTGAGAGGGATCTTGGAGTCCTAGTGGACAATCACTTAAATGTGAGCCAGCAGTATGCTGCAGCTGCCAAAAAAGCCAACACAGTTTTAAGCTGCATTAACAGAGGGATAGAATCAAGATCACATGAAGTGTTACTTTATAATGCCTTGGTAAGGGCACACTTGGAATACTGCATCCAGTTTTGGTCACCACGATGTAAAAAAGATGTTGAGACTCTAAAATGAGTGTAGAGAAGAACAACAAAAATGATCAGGGGACTGGAAGCTAAAACATATAAAGAACGGTTGCTGGAATTGGATATGTATAATTTAATGAAAAGAAGGACTAGGGGTGACATGCTAGCAGTATTCCAATATCGCAGTGTTTGCACAAAGAAGAGGGAGTCAAACTATTTTCCAAAGCACCTGAGAGCAGGACAAGAAGCAATGGATGGAAACTAATCAAGGAGAGAAGCAACCTAGAACTAAGAAGAATTTTCTTGACAGTTAGAACAATTAATTAATGGAACAACCTACCTCCAGAAGTTGTGAATGCTCCAACGCTGGAAGTTTTAAAGAAGAGATTGGACAACCATTTGTCTGAAATGGTATAGAGTTTCCTGCCTAAGCAGAGGGTTGGACTAGAAGACCTCCAAGATCCCTTCCAACTCTTCTACTCTACTCTTTTTATTCCATCTGCTCCTAGTTAGATACACAATCTTTCCTCAATAGTTGCATTTGGTCTTGAGATGTGTCTTATTTTGAAAATTAAAGATAGAAAGAAAATTGCAATCTGGAGGTTCTATCAGATTTTTCTGGATCAGCTGCAAGCTGGACAAAATAAAAGCCTGGAACAAATTTGTTGTTCCTAGATTCAGTAAAAAAAAAACAAAAAAAAAACAACCCCTGAAGATTCCAGAAATATTTCATGGTGAGTCGGCAATGCTAAAATATAACAGCCCTTCTTTCGTTCAGAAAGAAGGATACATAGAGCTAGTGCTATTTGTTTTATACAATTTGTTCCTTGATGGTCTCAGAAATTCTCACTGTGGCATATTCCACTAGCCCACTGCCTTCCTTTCTGTCCCTCCTTTATCTCACAGCAGTGCTGTTAATACAATGTCCTTGAATGCATCACACCAACCCATCTACTTCCTGATCCTTTTCCTGTATCTTTCTTTCTCTGTTTCCCTTCAACCACTGCAACCTGTGGCTATGTGATGAAGTAAGAGGTTCCGTGCTATACAAAAACAGGACATGGGGCAATGTGAAGGGTTAGAACCTCCCCAAGATCATCTTTCATTCCTTTCCTTATTATCAGTGGCATCAAAAGCATTAGCTTCTCCTAGCTCTTACCCACTTTCAATTCATATTCAGACCAAGCATGGTTGCTTCGATTTATGCACAAACTACAGTACATGAAACCAGTTGTTCCACTAATGAAAATGTTCATGCACAACTGCTTTGAATCTCATTAGCTGAAAGATAAGCAAAGCTGAAACAAGCAGAACATTCAGACAGAGCCAAAAGTGAGTGGTGCACTGTTAATCACCCCCCCTTGGCAAAAGACTTATTGCAAAAGAAAGGTGAGTTTCCTTTTTTTTTTTTCTTCCTCAGCTCTTAATATTCTTCTCTCAAATGGCATTCCATGGTTATAATCAGCATTGGCCTCTGGCTCAAATTACCTTCATCTTCTGTTTACTAAAATCCATCCATTGTTTGTACTCTTTAATAGTAAACAAAAAACATTTCCATAAAGGTCTAGTCTGTTTATATGTTTTAATTCCAATTTGTTCAAAAACATTTTCATCAAAAAGTAATCCTTTTTATAATAATCAAAAATTACTAACCTCTTTTTCCATTTTAAACTTTCTTACATCCAATCCTTGTTAAGCTTTTTGTCAAAATTTTTAAATCTTTGAAACCCAATTTTTCCTTTTAATCCAGAAAGAAAGTTGTCTCAACAAGTGAATTTTTCTTAGCCTACTGCTTAGAAAATCTCTTGTTAGCTATAAAACGATTACAAGTGCAACTGTTTAAGAAAATGAGGCTTCTGCTAACCTTGTATCCTTAAGAGATGCATTAGTGCTCTGAGCTTGACTGAAATGCCTCAGCTCCCAGCTGCTCAATTCAGGAGTTCACCGCAAAAACCCCAGTTCCTATAACAACTGTCCAGAGTGCAAGTTGGGGATCTCACTTTCTTTCCTTGTCTGATGAAAAGAAATTCACTGCCTGGTCACTTCTCTTTCAGGAATGTCTAGTCTGCTATAGATCCTCATTCAGAGGCAGAATTACCTGATTTGTTAGCAGACTATCTTGCCTCTGAAGACTCCAGCCACAGTTGTCAGGAAGCTCAATACTACTATACTAACGGATACCAGCCATGGATGCCTACACCAGTATATTTCACCACAGTTTTTAAAAATTCATGACAATTTTAAGTTATAATTATTTACTTTAATTATAATTACTATTGTCAGCTTTAACTCACATAACTCACATAATATAATAAGCCAAGAATCATAACATACCAAGAAATGAAGGAGATCAAGTTGCATGCTGCTTATTAACCTTTACATAAGTGGGTAAACAAACTAGACAGCTTGGTATAACATCCAAGCCCAGGATTACATTTATTGTGTCCAAACAAGCCAGAAATGTGTTTAAATCATGGTTTAAAATATCTATCTTATTAATGCACAGTAACTATACAAAGTTCACATTAACCACTCCTTGTCTTTTCTTCACTAACAGAGAATAGAAGGAAATACAGGTGGCCAAAATTGTGGAAACCTTTTGGGAAAAGTGTACAGTAGAAATGCCACCTTTGGTTAAGTTTCCACTAATTTTTCTTCTAATTTCTTTATAACTGTAGCCTTTTTCACTTAATAATACTATTTTACATCGCTCTCTGGGCAACCAGTCAACTCTTTGCACCATTACTTTAATTTTATTACGTTTTACAAGCTCACTAAATGAAAGAATAAAAATCTCAACCAATTTGATAGTGATCACATTAACACACTGACAAATGTCATTTTCTCAGCTTCAATACATTACATCAATAACTGAATCCTACTGTGATCTGATTGGCTCATTGCCAAAACAAGATGACACCTGATTGGCTCTCTAAATACCCATGCTCATTGGCTACAATAGATGAAGGAAAGCTACCTGATATCAACCTAAGCAAGTTATGCTTCCTTTTTCTGGTAATTTGGCTATAATGTTTCATAGAATACAGTACAGATAATCAAACAAACTATGTTGCATTACATTCTTGATTAAATTATATTTCCATTGATATATAATTTTATGGTACTACTCCAAAAAGAAAGTGGTATTAGCCATCAAACCTCAAAAATACTTTTCCCAAAAGGTTTCCACAATTTTGGCCACTACTGTAGCTGCATTTACAGACAGAATGCAAAAATCCTTGGTGTATCCTATAAGAACATAATCAGTGTGCAAAGAAGGCGCCATTTATCAAAAGTTAAACATTTACATACACAACTTAAGGTTTTATAAGCATGCTCTTAATTATCATAAACTAAATCTGCAATTATTAACATTCTATGGTTTTCCAATCCATTCTCTTTTTAAAAAATATACTGTATTCTAGAAGGCTGGATCATCTCGGTGTGGACCTTGGTATAAATGAATAGAGTCCAGTTGCCATAGGACACCCCTTCTGAATTTAGTTAACTCCTTTGCACATGTGTGGAAAAACATCTCTATCAACTATAAGTGGCTCCAGTGCAGAAGCAACGAGAATAACATTTGCAGTAAGAAGTTCATAAGATCTCAGCTATTATCCCAAAACTTGCCAATGATATATTGCACTCTGCTGACTTCCTTCAGCTATTTAACATCAGGACTTGCTATTTTCATGCTGGTTGCAAATGAAGAACAACAGAGAGCTTGAAATAATATGAACTCTGTGAATTCTGTCACAGTGTGAAAGTCTTTCTGTATTACTGCCCACTAGACTAATTTTAAATTTAATTAAAATATACATAGAACAACTACTGAAAGAAAATGGCCCATTAGGGCACAACTCAGGCTCTCCAGCAAGATAAAGGTTAAAATGAAGGAATAAATAAATGATAGAAGGAAAGGATTTTTTTTATACCTCTCTGTAAGTTCATCACTAGGTGTGCTTTTCATCGATAGCTCCTCTTCCAGTCTCTTCCTTTCTGCTTCTAAATGCTTCAATTCATCTTGCGTGCGTTTACATGAGGTGACAAATTGAAGCTCTTTCAGAAGCTCTTCCTTTTCATTTATCAGCATCAATTTTTCCTTCTCAATTTCCAGTGCTCCAGGCCAAACTTCACTTTTTAACTTAGAAAGTTCTATTTTTAAGTTTGCCATTCTAAAAGAGACAGACAGACACAAAGAACAGATAAACAAGGATTTTCCAATAGGACAAAAACAGAGGAAAAGCCAGAAGGTCTCTTATCTCCTTGCTTCCTCCACTTTCAGAGGCTCAATAATACAGTAGGATCTATATGTGTAAAGCCTAACAAGTGCAGAGCATTTCTAATTATTTTTCTGGTTATTTATTTATTTAGCATATGGCACTTTTACAATGCTAAGGCAGAGTAGTAGTTTGGCTGCCTGTTTACCAGCTCTGTTAGGTACACACTTGTGCGCTTCCCTAGGTGCACCACAGGAGGTTGAGCTAGCTACGCACCAGAAAGAAAGACAAGTGGCTTTTCTTGCAGCACCATCCAAATGGGTGTCACAACCTGGAAGGTTCAGTGCCAGCAGGATTTTAATTGTTGCAGGAAGTGCCGGCTCATCTTCCCACCAAAGTGGTACCTATTTATCTATTTGAATAGAACATGCTTTCGAACTGCTAGGTGGGCAGAAGCTGAGATGAATGATGGGAGCTCATCTCACCATGCAATGCTAGGACTTGAGCCGCCAGAGCAGAGACCATGTTCAGTGTCATTAAGCCCCTGAGCCACCATACCTCATTTTTCTAGCAAGTCAATATATAAAAATATTTTAAATAAACATATCATGTAGCATCCTTGATTCTGATTAGGTTTTTCACTGTAGTATAGACAGTTGGTGGAATTAAAGGCCAGAGGGGCCTTAAGAAGATAGTGTGCAGCTCTTTTCACATGAAGTGAATCAATCAAATTCATATCATTTATTATTTATTCAATTTTTATATCACCTTTATTATTTTTATTTAAAAAATACACAACAAAACAATGCTATGAGGTGGATTGGGTTGAGAGAGTGTGACTGGCCCAAAGTCACCCAGTGAGCTTTCATGTCTAGAGCGGGACTAGAACTCCTAGTCTCCTGGTTTCTAGTCAGCACCTTAACCACTACACCAAACTAGATCTATAATCTGATCTGGTCCAGGGCTATCTTAGTTAATGAACAGGGACAGGAAAAATACAAACATTAATAAGTTCCTGAGAGTTGAGCGAAGTGCATTATTCACATGATGGTTGGTTTTATTACAAAGTGATTTACCAACTGATAAGATTTTTAATTGCAAGACAATGAAAACTTTTAATGAACAAAGGATTCCGTTTTATAATTACTACCACATGAAAATAGCAGCTGTCAGCCTTCTCTGACATTCATTTTATGGAATGTTCTGCTAAAGAGATAATGTTTCAAATTCTTTCCAGCATAAAAATACAAAGTGTGCTGTTGGCATAGATTAAACCAAAAATCTGATCCACTATTCCATTTACATAGTGCTCCCCCCACAAAATGGTGAAATTTAACAAAGGGTCACGAGTGCATCAGTATCCTCACACAGGGATTATGTATTATACTGCTTCCCATATTACAGGAAATGTATGGAGCTCTAATGTAACCATTAAGGCATTTATAACCCACTGTTTATCTAATAACTTTTAAAGCCATTTAAGTTGGTGCCTACTATGTAGTGGTGATACCTACAGCTTAGCCTTCTTATTTTGATTTCTTAAGTAGCTAAGCAGCAGTTCTAAAAACTATACACAACTAACATAAAAAGAAATAAAATCATTCTGGCTTACCAAATGAAGATCCATACTGATGGAATGCATCAGGTTTATTTCACTTTATCAATGCTTCATATCTAGCCAAGCTTGGCTAGAAATAACCCTGACTACTATTTAGTAACATGCAAGGTGGGATCGCGTCTCAAAGAGTTTTTTTCTTCTTTAGAATGCTTACTTATCAATAACTGTTATTGACTGATCATCTCTCTAGCTACCAGAGCATGCCTCTTAGCTTCTTATATTGGGTGACTTCCCTTTAATATTGTACTTGATCACTGAATTAAGTTTTCAAGTCTTCTTCACTGAGACTGCTTGTCAATTCCAAATTTTATTTTAATGGCAGATTTCTATGTATGTTTGAACCATTTATAAGTTTTGAATAGGATGTTGAAGGCTTCCTGAAGCTTTTTAGAAACAATATTCTCAATTAATGTGATGAGACAAAAAGATGGTGAAGTGAAAGTATCATTCATGCTGTATTTTTTACAATGTTGTACATGTAGACCTCACTTACTAACCACCTTGTGTAGTGACTGTTCAAAGTTATGATGCCAATGAAAAAGTAATTTTACAGCCAATCTTTGAATTGACAACTCATGCAAAACCCCTGTGGTCACATGATTGATACTTTGCAACTGGCAGGCATTTATGACTCTTGTAGCATCCTGCAGTCACATGATCACCATTTGGGTGCTTTGCAACTGGTTTGTGATTAGCAGAATCAATAGAGAAAGCAGCAGTAGACAGTCAGTTTGGTATAGTGGTTAAGGTGCTGGGCTAAATACTAGGAAACTGTAGGCTGACTGAGTGACTTTGGGCCAGTCACTTTTCAACCCGCCTCACAGGATTGTTGTTGTATGGAAAAAAGGAGGAAGGAGAAATATGTTCACCGCTTTGAGTTATTTATAAAAGTGAATCAGGAAGACTGATCAAGAGTGGATTGGCAAGGGTGTATAAGGTAGCAGTGTGAATCAGGGAGGGCACAGAAGAGTATGGTATGAACACAGAGGTGGCTAGAGCAGAGGGTGTGGGAGGGGAGATTTGCAACCTTCCCTGCCAGCTTCCCAATTAACTTTCTCAGGAGGATGGCAAGGAAGATTGCAAATAGCAATCATGTGTTTGTGGAGTGCAGCAATTGCTTATAAGTGTGAACTGGTTGCCAGATGCCCAGATTGTGATGACTGCAAGAATGTTAGCATGGTCAGAACTCCAAGGACCAGGTGTAACCACATTTGTCCAGTGCTGTTGTAACTTCAAACAGTCACTAAAGCAGGGGTGTCAAATTCAATATCATTGAGGGCCGCATCAGCATTGCGGTTGCCCTCGGGGGGGGGGGTGGATAGGTGCAACCTACTGGGTGGACATGGATGGAGCAGGTATGGCCTACTGGGTGGGCGTGGCCAGCTCTACATCATTCGCATCAAGGGTGACTGTGGGGGCCTGGGCAGGAGTGGGACAGATCTGAGGGTCTCTGGCAGAAAGGGGTGGGACCAGGGCAGAGCCCATCAAGCCAGATATGTGAAGTAGGTGAGGGCCATTTGATGGCCACTTCCAGGCGATGATGCATTTCTTCATTCCTCATAAAAGGTGACACCTCCCCAGCATGCATCCAGGGGGTGGGGCTGACGCGGAGGGGCTGGTTCCTTGCTGTTTCCAGATGGCCTTGTGGAGCTAAGACTGAATGCGTTTCAGCATAGATGGCCATCACAAAATTGTACATTGGCTCCCGGCTGGCCTGGGCCAGGGCCATGGCAGAGGGGGCTGTTCCCTCACTGTTTCCAGGATGGCTTCACGGGCCACATGAAACCACTTCACGGGCCGCATCCGGGCCCTGGGCCTTGTGTTTGACATGTCTGCACTAAAGGAATGGTTGGAGATCTAGGACTACCTATACAGATTATGAGTTCCAATATCATTTTTTTGTTGCTTTTTAACATTTCAAGTAGCAATTTCTTCATCATTTGCAATTTCTGTAGGTATCAGTAGGGATTTCCCATGTCATCTGAGAAACAACTGATTTCCCTTTTAGGCTGAAAAGCTCACTTTATTCAGATCTGACATTGCCTCTGAGTAACAGCGGTATGGTATGTATATTGCACCTTGGTTTTAGTGCTCAGTTTGAGATTGCTGTGTTACATTTTATGTCATTACAATTAAGATTATGTTCTTAAAGACACTAGTTTATATATCCTAATTTTCCTATTATCACCTAAACATACAGGCAGTTTTGATGTAAAGTATTTATTTTGCAATTGAGGAAACTGCTAATAATAACTTGTTTCCCTGAATTTGCTGTTTAATTTGGTTCATATTCTTTTGCTTACAATTCTTTTGTTAGTGAAAACAAAATAGCTCGGAGTATTCACTAATAGTGTTATATACAAAAATAAATGATCCAATATACACAAATAAATGATGCTGATAAGAATATTAAACTATGTTTTCAATAGATGCATCCAGTAGATGTCACTGCAAGCATTATATTGGTTACACGGCTTTATAGACTGGGATACAAAATATATATTCTAACGAAGAAATAAACTCTTTCTTTACCTTCTTTTGGCTTCTTCATACTGAAGACTCAATCTGACTTTTTCAGCTAAATTGGCCATGTTCTTGACACTGACCTGTTGAAAGAATCACCATCTCATAGCATATATCATTAAGGATACATGAAGTAATTTGATTTCCTAAATAAGCTAAATAAATAGAAACACATTTCAAAACATTAATTGCTGTTTTGTCAACTCAAAGGCTAATTCAAATAATTTCTAAAGGAATATACTTTTATTACTACTAAATAACCCTAGGATATATTTTAATAGAAGGTACAGTTCTAATAAGGTCAACTTTGAACCTCCATTTAATCCCAAGTTGTTGCTTAGCACTTTGAACTCAGAACTTAAGAGATCGATGAAGCTCAAAGGAGGACTTCAATGAGACTGAAATTGTTAAAAACCACATTTAAGTATGGGCTGCTTCTAAGAAAATCCTAGTACAATCATTCCCAGAGACTTTTATGATTCCACCTTAAGAAATAGACCAACATTTGGAAAACTCTGTGAATATAAACCTATGGCAATCATTCCAGTCAGTGAGAAACATTTTAAAGTGACTAAAATGTTGATTTCATTGGAGAGCTTGATGAACTGTAATAAAATGTGAAGAAGTTCTCTAGTCACCAGTTTTTAAATTGAACTTTAGGGTTTGATCATTGCTTTTTGGAGCAAAAATAAATAAGGTTCACTTATATTCATATACATCAATATTCAATGAATACATGTCATTTTGAATAAGACCTATTTGACATAATGTATTAAATGACTTTGGATTAAATTAAAATGTTTTTGGAATGTGATATCAATAAGCTCTAACATAACTTGGGGGGAGGGGGAGATTTGGGTAGACTGAACCCCAAACTGTTAATCTAAATTCAGGATATCAGGAAGCCGGGGAGGGGAGGGGAAAGCAAGGAGGGAAGGGTAGATGTCCAATGAAATTCTTGACTTAAAATAAATAATAGAAGATGATGAGGTATTGCATAGTATAGTAAAGGTTTAGTTTCTTTCAAAGAAGAAAAAAATGCAAGTTTTTAATATGACTGTTGTAGCTACTTTGCCAAATTAAAACCAACTTAGATCACAATTAATATTCTAGAATAAAATATCTATCTGAGGAAACACAAAGAAAAAAATTGCAAACCAGAAAATTCTATTCCAGTTCTGCTTATTAATGATAATGACAAAAGTTCTGTTTGATATTTTTAAGCCATTATTGAGACTAGCTAGGACTCTAACATAGGATGTTAATAGTTACATTTTCACTTTATGGTATTTAATTATGACTAAATTGGAGTACAGCATCATCCTGCTTTAACTATAGTTAGTATAGGCCAGTGATGGCGAACCTTTTACAGACGGAGTGCCCAAACTGCAACCCAAAACCCACTTATGCATCGTCGAGTGCTGGGTGGGTGTGGCCCATTGGCTGGGTGTGGCCCATTGGCTGGGCATGGCTCCGGTGGTAACGGCAGACTGGGCGGGACTAAAAATTTCAATCAATCAATTCCAACTTTGCAAGATCTTTTTTTTCCCGCAAGAAGTTGAAATTGATTGATTGTTTGAAACTTTTTTGCACATGGAGGCAGAGGCCTAAAGCGAAAAGGTTTTATAAAACCCAGCTGAAGGTCTAGGACTGGGGTGATGGCGTGCGTGCCCACAGAGAGGGCTCTGAGTGCCACCTCTGGCACCCGTGCCATAGATTCGCCACCACTGGTGTAGTCACTATACTAACTTGCATCATTCAGAAATGATGAAAGTAATTATGAGTTAACCTCTATAAGCCACTGGATTGTATGATTTAGATGATCACATTTTTATTGATTCATCTTTTTAAAAAAAGAAAAGGAGAGAAAAATATCAAACAAGCAAGCAAAAGAAAAAGAAATAGTAGATACAAAAATACAGTATAGTATCAGTAAGTTAACAAAACAATTACTGAGTATAGATTATCAGATTTGTAGCTTTTATTGCCTCCTCCATTCCCAGAGATTTCTTGGCAAACAAAAATCTATAAGCAAATTGTAGGAGATCTCATTTCTATCATTTAAAAAACTATTTAGAATTATGAAATTCACCTAGTAGAATATCTGCAGCACAAAGGAGTGCCTTTTGAGAGTGAAACATGAGAAGCATTCTTTAGAACAGAGGTGTCAAACTCAATTTCATTGAGGCCCGCATCAGCATTGCGGTTGTCCTGGGGGGGCGGGGGTGTGTGGCCAGGGTGGGTGCAGCGTGGATGGACTGGGTGTGCGTGGATGGACTGGGTATGGCCTACTAGGTGAGCGTGGCCAGCTCTACATCGTTTGCATCAAGGGTGCCTGTGGGGCCTGGCCAGGAGTGGGACAGATCTAATGGTCTCTGGCAGAAGAGGGTGGGACCAGGGCAAGTGCCAAGGCATGGTCCATTTCTTCATTCCTCACAAAGAGTGACACCTCCCCAGCATGCACCCAGGGGGCGGGGCCAATGCGGCAGGGGCTGGTTCCTCGCTGTTTCCAGACAGCCTTGTGGAGCTAAGACTGATTGTGTTTCAGCATAGATGGCCACCACAAAATTGTACATTGGCTCCCGGCCAGCCTAGGCCAGGGCCTAGGCAGCGGGGGCCGTTCCCTCACTGTTTCCAGGATGGCTTTGCGGGCCACATGAAACCACTTCACGGGCCATTGATCCGGCCTCCGGGCCTTGTGTTTGACATGTCTGCTTTAGATTCAGATCCCTTCAAGAGTATTCCACATCTATTTTTTTCATCCCCACGTTTAAATAATAGGAAAAACATACATCACCAGAAATGTCTGTCTGAGACCCTGCATCTAAAGTTTGCTTGGAGAGAGACTGTTGGGAGTGTGCCAGGCTGCACCTCAAGTCTGATTCTGATTGGGCAACATTTTGACCAAGAAGGAATCTTTCTCTCAACTTTACAAGGCTCTGGGGAACAACAACAACAAATATTGCAGATTTTGTTATTTAAGAAAACCACTACACACAGCAAGAAATGCATAGGCAAGAAAGAGACAGAATAATATAGAAAGGAATATCCTACAATTGTTCATCAACATTTACCATATCTATTTTGAAAGACAACTCAGTGCATACATTCTCCTCTCTGTCTCTCAAACGAGGTATTTAAAAAGGCTTCGTGAGAAACTTTAGTTAGCTACATCAATACTATCTTGCAATAGTTCCCAAAGCCTGGAAATGAAAATGGCAATCAGCAAACATTTTATAAGGCCAAAACATCTGCTCATTCATCTGTAATCAATGAAGCAATCTCCCTATTGCCTGCTAAGGAAATCAGTAACCCAGTCAAAATATCCCTACCCTACCAAACTTATGGGAGATACTAAAATACATACATCCAGTTTCCAAAATCCAGTTCTGTAACATAATCTCTTTTTTTTTTTTCTTTACTACAAATTTAATAATACCTTAGAAACTACCTCTCTTAGTTATGATAGCTGTTAGGGGCCTCATGGACCACCAAGTGCTGAATAAAAATGATATCAAAATACCTTCATTAAATCTTGCTTTTCTTTTTCACCAGAGCTTATAGCTTTTTGGATAGACTTCAATTCATTCATAATAGCTTTGGCTTCACTTAACTCATATCCATTCTGGCCTCCAGACATTTTTTGGTCAATTCTGTAAAATAGTACATTGATAGTAACTCTAAAAAAAAGTGTTTCTGGCATTTAGAAAGATATCCTATTGAGGGAAAGAGAAACAGGCAATTCTAATAATATTATCTTCCGTAAACAGCAGCTATTTTCAATCAAAATATAGGAATATCAGACAGTACTTTAATCTAGGTATACCATATTCCCAAATTCTATCTTTACTACCGTGTTTCCCCAAAAATAAGACCCACCCAGAAAATAAGCTCTAGCATAATTTTTCACGTGTGCCTTATATAAACCCTACCCCCAAAATAAGCCCTAGTTAAAAGCCCGCTCACTCTATCCCGTTGTCTGGTTGCTCATGGTCACAATGGGGCAGGAGAACGTATGTCGTGCCGCTGCCATGAAGTGAGATAAGGCAGGTGGGGAGTGGAGCTGCCCCACGCACCCCGCACCCACTTACTTCAGGGCTCCTGCAGCCCGGCCACTCCTCATTTGGCGACCTCCCCCTGCCTGTTCAATGATCCGGCTGCCTGCCTGCCTCTTCCCTTTCACTCCCCTCCTGAGCCAGACTGCCATGCCATAGATGATGGGCAGAGAAAGCTTGGGCATCTTACCTGGTCCCCCTCTGCCATTTTGGAGGTAGGGGAGAGTGATGGCAAAAGGACTCTGCCAGAAATTTAGCATCCAGTTTCTTAGACAGTTTTGTTCGGACCAAAAACTTGGTATAGAGACAGACTTGGCTCCTTCAGCTCTCAGGGCCCTTCCTGTCAATGGAAGTTTGCAGGCTTCTTGCACAACTGCTTCACATGTTCTAGCTGTTCTAGCTTCACTGTTTCAACAGTGTTTGTGCAGCCAGCAGCTGTTGCAAAAATCCACAACTCTGGGATGGGCTCTTCCTACCTTGGGTTCTCTGGTAGAACACTAGGATGTGTGCCATTCAAGGCTTGCAAGGGAGTCATAGCAATTGATATGTAGAGACAGTTATTATATGAAAATTCTGGCAACGGCAGTAATGAGGACCAGTTTAGGTGCAGTAACATCTTATTGCTGCAAGAGTTTGTTTGTTTGTTTTCTCTGTCTTGCCATTCATTCCAGAGTGGTGGGCTGAAGACAAGATAACCTGAATATTCAAAAGTTGGAATAGTGCCCTCCAAAATGTGGAAGCAAGTTGACTTCCCCAGTAGAGATTACTCTAGAGACCATGCTTCTATGATAGATGTGATTTAAAAAGAGCTGAGCTGTTTCCTTGGCAGTAAGCAACCCCTTACAAGGTATGAAAAGAGTCATTTTTGTGGAAAGACCCACTAACAACTAGTATGGCTGTTTAGCTATGGGCCCTCAGCAAATCAACAGCAATCAAATGGGGTTGGACTTAGTTCATAGTGATTCTAGGATTCACTTCTCCCTCAGGCTCTGCTAGTCCTTCTTCTACAAGAAGGAGTGCCATGGTTATCATTTTTCCAAGATAATCTTACTTACCAAGTTATATTTTTCAAGGAAAAGATTCACAAACAGTTTAAAACTTGAAAGGGCATACATATAATCTTACAGAGGATTTTTGCACTGAAAATAATTTTTTTTCTTGACTTTATCATGGACTTCCATTAAAAAAATAATTAAGAATTAGCTTAGAGCAAAATTATCCACATAATTTGACATGTGCTAAATTTCATTAAAGAAAAAAGCTTCTGCACTATAATGTAAGAAATAGAAATGACTATTTGTTGTATAAACAGGAGATTAAAATGTTATCGGTAAATGACACATATAGTGGAGATTAGTTTACCTATCCCAAACCAGAGAAAAGAAGGGAAAACACACTAGTCCAAAGCTTGTAACATTAAACCAGAATTTAACATTATGTTAAGCATGATATACACCTGGATTCTGTTTAAATATACTATTGACAGCAGAGTATTTACTTATTTATTTATTTTATTTTATTTTATTTATTTATAAATTTATTTATAAATTAAATAAAGTATTTACTTCCTAATCATGTTTGATTTTTGCTGCATTATTATCCAACCTAGATTAACTGCACATAAAAACAAGTGATATGAATCAGAGCTTTTCCAGCAAGATGCAGTCCTGTTGCTTCAAAGTATTACATTTTAAGTTGCAACTACTTTTTATAACAGATATGGCAGAAATGAATAAAAGGTCTTTCCAATATAAAATGTATTCTGACTCCCTGCTTTCAATAAATAGAATTAGTGCTAGCCATAAACTGACAGCCATAATTTATATAACAAATGTTCATTGTTTATTTGTTGTATGCTGCTGAAAGTTTTCCAAACTTGCTTTGGTTTCCTAATGAAATTACTTGCAAGCAAGTTGGTTTTCAAATTTCAGCAATGTAACACAACCAGTATGATGGATTAACTTTAATTTTAATAGAAGCAGAAATTTTAAAACTTTAGATATACTTATGTTTTAAAAGAAAAATTAAACTGGGAACAAAAAAGTACCAGCATTTTTATTATCTCCAACATTCAGTTAAATTTTAAAAGTCTGCAGTTGTGAATTGTTTAAGCTTTAATTCTATTCAATTTCATATTTTAAAGTCATATGGAATAATAATGGGGGATTACAGGAAGATTTAAATTCTTAACCATTTACAAAAAATAAAAAAGGAACACTTGTAAGAAATCTGCTCAACTTTCTTTTAAATAAAAGAATTCTGTATTCTGTAATATGTAATATTACAGAGTATTCTGTAATATGGCCCAGGAATTAATATAGCTGCTATTTATTTGCCACCCAGCCAATTTAGATGATTGACTTTTCCTTTTGGGCAGGACAGTCTTCAAATAGATATTCGTATTATGCTTGTCTAAACTTTGCCAAATACAAGTAGAGTGAGCAGGCACTTAGGGAATGCAAAGATCAGTGGAGCAAAAAAACCCATGGGATTTCTCCAATTTCTGATTTATTTCAGCCCCATCTTTCCTCTGTTTCAACCTTCTCACTGAAGCTTGTCCTTTTCCATGACAGTTAAATATTCAGTAAAGGTCTAATTATACTTAAAGGGCACATGGCGCCAAATAACCAGCCTGCAATACTGCTTTTCTTGTCTTTTTTGGCTGCTTGTTTGCTCTTCTCCATCACACAAGTGGCAGACAGGGACCTATTCAATTCTCTCACTTTTTACACCTTTTAAACAGCTTTCTGCTTTTCTTCCTTAATAATAGGACATGGTTAGATTTTCCATAGGCATTGGTTGTAGATTTTTCTCACCTATTTCAAGAGAAATAATTATTCTATTTGATTTAATTGTAACCAATGGGATGAATTATTTAAGTCAATTTCAATTGTTTTCTTATACTCACTGTTGCAATGTTTCATAGCCTTGCTCCTTATATAATAATTCTTGCTTCATCTGCAAGAGTTCCCTTTTCAGTTTTTTAACCTTGTATGCAAAAATAAAAGTTTAAGACACAGCTTTTAAAATAGTGTAAAATAGTTTAGAATAATTAACACCTTTAAACATGAACAATAAATAATACCTGGTATCTTGACTTGTCCTTGTTCCTGTGTTTTAAATACTACCACCATACATGTAAGACCACATGAAATTGACTTTATCATATGATTCTGTGGAAAAAATGTTTTTCTTTCAAGTTCCTCCTGACTTGATTCAACGTCATCTAATTCATAATGTTAAAATGAGGGTCAAATAGTCCACAGTTATAGATGGTATCATAGGGCAGGAAAGCTCTTCCCTTTAATTCAGGGATGTCCAATCTTAGCAGCTTTAAGACTTGTGGACTTCAAATCCTAGAATTCTGGGATTTGAAGTTCACAATCCTTAAAGTTGCCAAGATTGGCTTTAACTCCTTTCCTGTGGCTATATTCGCCCTGTGGAACAGCATCCTCCCTTCCAAGATATGGGTGGCCCCAATTATATTATTCTTTTGTAATTCTCTGAAGACCTGTTTCCCCAGGTGTTTGGGCAGAGAGGTTAGGTGAGCTCTCCTGATAATGTTCGGTTTTTTTTTATTGTTGTTTCGAGGGTTGTTGTTTTAAAAAAGGAATCAAGGGTTGTATTTTGTAATGGTGGCTTTAATCTTTGTACACTGCTCAGAGTCACTACTGTGAGATGGTTAGCTTTATAAATCATACAAATGAATAAATAAACCCTTCCTAACTAAACATACTTCTCTCTGCAGAATCTTTCTTATACAAGAAAAGACTGACAACAACTGCTGACTCTAAATGGAAAAAGGAGGAAATCCTTTAAATAGAAAAAAACAATTATTTTGTGTTTCAACATGGAGAAAAACAATAAGAAGTCAGCAAGAAGAATAGCAACTATGTATCAGATGATTGGATGTATGTACTAAAATTGTGAGGGAACTATTTTAAATCCTGCCCCATATACTTATGGTTTAGACCACGGATCGGCAACCCGCGGCTCTTTCAGCTGTCTCCTGCGGCTCCCTGTCCTCAGCCACCGTGTGCAGTCTGAAAAAAAAAGTGGGACTAAAAAAGTTCAAACTTCTCATGAAATTTGAATTGATTGGTTGAACTTCTTTGGTTTCAGACCGTGTTCAGTTTGAAAAAAAAAGTGGGACTAAAAAAGTTCAAACTTCTCATGAAGTTTGAATTGATTGGTTGAACTTCTCTGGTTGAACTTCTTTGGTTTCTTTCCTTCTTCGTACTGCACGTGGTGGCCGGGAGGATTGCTGGAAAGGTGTCCCTGGTAAGGAGCTGCGGGTGGCCGGTTTCGGGGTGCCTCTTCCCTGCCTGGTGGGTCTCCCCTCCCCCTGCTCCACCGCCGCCTCTGTTAGTCGGGGGGGGGGGTGTCGCCGGAGGTCTCTGTAGCTTCCTCTCTCCACCTGCACCTTTTGGCCATCTCATGGGCAGCGGATTCCCTCGCAGCACCTGCCCAGCCCTTTCCCCACCTGCTGCGCGGTCCTCTTGGCCATCCTCCCAGTTGCGCTGAGTGAGGCCAAAGAGACGGCAGTGAGTGGGCAGCCGTGCCACTTCGCTGTCCTCCCACTGCCGCCGCTGCCACCACCCTCAGTGCTGCAGGAGACCTTGGGCTACATGGGCGGTGGGTCTGGCCCCCCCCCCATCCCTGCGGCGGCATTCCCCGTTGCTGGTGCGGCCGCCAATGGTGCACCCGGCCTTGGTGCCCTCCTCTTGCAACAGCGAAGTGGCTGAGGATGCGGTGGGGGTGGTGGCCAGGGGCAGTGGGGCCCCCCGACGATGCTGCAGTGGCCACCACCGTACCGCCGCCACCGGAGCCACTGCCTCCTGTCCTGCTCTCTCTCCCCGCCCGTTCAGCTGAGGACAGTGGCGGGGGCGGCACTGGACCAGGGGTGGCAGGGAACCCCGACGATGCTGCAGTGGCCGCCACTGTCGCCGCCATGGAAGCCACTGCCTCCCATCCTGCTCCCCCTCCCCGCCCGTTTGGCTGAAGATGTGGCGGGGCAGCGGCCGGGGAAGCCCGACGATGCTGCATTGGCCCCCGCCATGTCGCCACTGCCACTACCAGAGCTGCTACCTCCCGTCCTGCTCGCCCTCCTTGCCCATTCAGCTGAGGACATGTGGGGTTGGCGGCCGGGCCGGGGGCGGCGGGATTTTTTGATTTTTACATCTTGTATTATATGAGCCGAGGTGGCGCAGCAGTTAGAGTGCAGTACTGCAGGCCACTTTAGCTGACTGTGTTCTGCAGGTCAGCAGTTCAAATCTCACCGGCTCAAGGTTGACTCAGCCTTCCATCCTTCTGAGGTAGGTAAAATGAGGACCCAGATTGTTGGGGGCAATGTAAATATATATATACATTGCTTACTGGTGTACACCGCTTAGAGAGTGCTTGCACTTAAAGCGGTATATAAGTCTCATAAATAAATAAATAAACCCTGACAATGCTGCAGTGGCTGCCTCTGTGCCGCCACTGCCACTGGAGCTGCTGCCTCTCATCCTGCTCCCCCCCGCCCATTCAGCTGAGGATATGGCAGGGCGACAACTGGGCTGGGGGCAGCGGGGAACCCCGACAATGCTTCAGTGGCCACCACCGGGCCACTGCCACCAGAGCCGCTGCTTCCCGTGCTACTCCCCCTTCCCGCCCGTTCGGCTGAGGACGCAGCGGGGGTGGTGGCCGGGCCGGGGGTGGTGGGGAACCCAACGATGCTGCAGTGGCCACCGCTGTGCCGCTGCCGCCAACAGAGTCGCTGCCTCCCGTCCTGCTCCCTCTCCCTGCCTTTTCGGCTGAGGATGTGACAGGACAGCGGCCGGGCTGGGGAACCCCAATGATGCTGCAGTGAAGCAAACTAACACCCACCATGAAGATGAGGCACGACCACGAACGCAAAGCCAAACAACAGCAACGCAGCTCAGCAGCTCAAATCCCCCTGCAACTCAGACTAACCTGAGCACAACAAAGCCCCCACCCAAACAGAACACTCCCCCATCCAATCAGAGCACAGCCAACCCCCCATCCAATCAGAGCACTGCCAAACCTCTAACCAATCAGAACACACCTCCACCCAATCAGAACACAGCCAAGCTCCCACCCAATCAGTTCATACCCCCACTGGCAGTTAAAAGGAAGAAACACACATTGTTCCTAGAAGCATGAAGCCGAAAACACCAGCCTGAAGATGACGAATGGGACTTCGTCGAAATGTCGCCAAGACACTTCCAATTTTACGCGGGAGAAAACCCGAATAACCAAAGACCTACATACAAACACCCGTGAAAACCTCAGAAAACATATATATATATATGATATATACAGTGTTATCTTCATTTTAGATATCAAAAGGATTTTGCGGCTCCCAGTGTTTTGTTTTCGGTGGGAAACGTGTCCAAGTGGCTCTTTGAGTGTTTTGGATTGCCTACCCCTGGTTTAGACATTCTACTAAACATATTGTATCTTAAAAACACTAGTTATCTCAAAGATTTAAATATTCAGTCAATCAGTAGTTCAGAACTTTTTTGGATTGCTATTTCCAATCACATTCAAATTCATTTACCAATTATTCATTTACCAGCAGTCAGCAATTCCACACCAGATAGCTACATATATAACTAATGTTCTTATTAAGTTCCAATAAACACAATTAGCAGGTCAAAAGAAATGGTTTTAGAGGTCAGTGTTTTCTCCAGGAGACATACATAGATTGGACATGAACACTGTCTCTAGATTTGCCTATTAATGTTCAGAATTCATTTCTATAGAAAAAAATGACTATTACCACTGTGGATATGCTAATGCTTACTAATATTGTGAAAATTAACTATTCATAAATAATTAATTAGTCTGAAAATAATTCTTCATATGTGAGTAGCACTGTTCGGCTGTGAGCGCTGGCATAACTTGTGTTTCAATAAAGTCAGCAACACTATCTCATGTAAATAAACCATTATTATCATTTGCTGAACACAAAGGAATTTTATTGTCCTAATGTTCATGACAAGCATCTGATATGAGGGATATGCTGTATTAAAAGATACATCTTTGTTTGGATAACATCATTTAACTTGAAATTCATATTCACTTGCTAAGTTAACTTGTCAATGCCTGTGTGTCTAAGGAAGCTATTCTTATTTAAAAGAGGATTTATCATTGTTATAGCCATAGGGAGATATCTTAAGAGAAAAGGAGCACAAATGAGAGCGGGGGAAGACTCCTGACGGACATCAATGTGTGGATAGAGGAAGGGAGTTTGCAGGGAAACAGAATCTATACAAAGAAACCAAAATTTCCAAATGGGTACACTTGACAATATTCATTTTCAAAAGATAAATCCTTAAGCAGATATCTTTGGTTTAATACTTACCTCCATATGTTGATCATGAACAAGTACTAAAGCAAATATTACTTTTAAAACTATTAGCACTACAAATGTCCACAAAAATATAGGCTTGTACATGTAGACTATTAGAAAACAATTTAGTTGAGTTATTGGGAGATTTCAAAGCATCTTACCCTTAATCTTATAGTGGAGATTTCTGCTTTCAGAATATCAGGATCATACTTTGTGCTGGAAGAGGAGCTTGAGAAAACTTATTAGGGCAATAAGGGAAAAAAGACAATAAACCATTTGTGAGATCATTTTAGGTTTCAGTTCCCTAAAATATTCAAAATAGTAGTTCAACATAGTTTTAAAATGCAAAATAAAAGATTGGTTACTATATTACAGTGAAAACTACAAAATATAAGTAGCAATTATTCAAAGTATTTTCACCTTTATCATTTAGCTAGCATTTATTTGTTTATTATATTTATTTACCTATTTTTTCTAAGAGCTATAGTCATGTATGCAAAAATTTCCACCTACTTTTATTCCCATAAAGCAACCCTTGAACTGAGAGAAACAGATAGGCTCAGATTAATTCAGGGAGAACTACAGCTGAAGGTAGCCTTAAACTTAGGTGTTTCTATCCAAATTTAGATTAACTAAAACAATACATTCTTATTCTGCCAGAGAGTTCAGAAACTTAAACAGAAGCTGCATAAATGGAAATTTAGCTAGTAATGCTGCTTTAAGACTCAGTCATATACTATTTGTTGCTTATGCCCCTCTTCCTTACAAATTACTTTTCTTCTAGATTATTGATGCTGTTTCACCCAACTTCATTTTCAAAAGACTTGCTTGTTTATGGGAAGGCATTAACAGAATAATTCAGCATTCCAGAGCAAATAATTACTTCTGCAAGTACAAGTACAAGAGATATTTATAGCATAGGAATGGACATTTGTTTAGAATTATGGTGCCCCTAAAAATCAGGACTAATTTACATGTGATTCTAAATCTTTATTATATTCATGAACTTCAGTGAATTTAGGCACAAAGAGCCAAAATGCATCCTCCTGATCCCATTCATTTTTTTCAAGGAGATAAAGATAAGTTACTGTCTACAGTAGGTCTTCTCATATTAAGTGTGATAACATGCAGGATAAAGTCAGAAGTGCTGGGTTCCCACTTGTCATATGTGGAACTGGAATTCATCTGGAAAAATGTGCAAAAATGCTGAAGATTTTCTGGGTAAACTAGATGAAATACCTAAATGTACAGCTTTGCCAGTCACTGCCACCTGGCATTTTCCCACATGCTTGTACATGTTCTAGCTGAGATGTTTGCATTCATGGCTATAGCAAACTTGATTGTATGGCACTTTTCTCCTTTTAAGTAAACTCAGAGTAGCTAAGACAGATTTGCCCTTAAAGATGCTTTTCTTGGGCACTTTCAGTATGCATTCTGACTGGAAGATTCTCATTGAGGAGCCTCATTTAAGGACCACAGCCAGAGTATAATACCAGAGAATCAGATTTGGCTGAGGGTGTCCGTACATGCCCTGCAATGTCCACTAATGCAATATATAAAAACCAATAGAGCCTAGTGATAGCATTTATAATATAAGGCTTCTGGGAGACTTCCTTAGCAAACTTTTGTATACACATAATCCTTGATGTATAACCATATGATTAGTGACTGTTCAAAGTTACAAAAGTGCTGAAGAAATGGACTTAGGAACTGTGCCCAAGTTACAGCTGTTGTACTGTCCTTGTAGACACATGATCAAAATTCAGGCACTTGGCAGCCTGCCCATACTTACAACTGCAGGGGTACCACAATACCCAACCTCCCTCTCTTTGGCACTCTGCCTTGCAACAAAGGTTGCTGAGATTGTAAATCATTGTGGTTTTGTGACATCTTGCTTTACAACCACATCACATTGTGAAAGAAACTCCAGTCCCGACTGTGGTTGCAAGCTGAGAACTACTTGTATAATATCTCCGGTTAATTCACTATTACCCTGAATCTGGTCTGCACTGGATATCAAACATTTATAAAATTGTAAACTTTGACATTACATAAGTTTGCAATCTCAGGATTGATTTCTGGAGGTCTGTTTTCCAGAGCTGGTCAAGATCAATTTTTTTTTTTAGCAGCATTACTTCTGCCCCACTATCTGATCTCAGATCTGGATGCTTCCAACCATTCACCTATATATGATGAAATAATTGTTTGTATAGATAATCCTCAACTTACAACCAGTGATTTAATGACATTCATGACAGTCTTGGAACAGGTACTTTATTCATAAAGCACTTCTGGCTATTGTAAAACATTGTGCTAGGCACACACTCCATCACATGACCACATTTTGGGTGCTTGGCAATTTGCTCGTATTTACAACTGGTTGACCAGTGCCCTTGCCACCATATGATCACCATTTGTAATCTTCTCTGCTGGCTTTCCCCGAAAATAAATAGGGAAGCAGAGAAAGTGTTGGATTTGAGATCCGTTCCCCCAGTGAGCCAAGAGATTTCCCCTCCATGCAGAGAAAAATGCTAGCAAATGACATTTTGCCCATCCAGAGGAGAAAACTCAAGCGTCTCCTGGATCAGGATTCCCTGCACTTAGTCATTTAGACCAGTGGTTCTTAACCTAGGCAATATTGCCCCCCAGGGGGCAATTTTGTTTTTCAGGAGGGCGATGGAACAAAAAGAGGCGACGCGGGGGCAAAGGGGGCGATATAGGGGCGATGGAGCGAGAAGTTTTGGGGACACTTTTGAGACTTTTTCGTACAGTGAATCGCTGTATATCTGTCGTACAAAAACATCAGATCACTCGCTATTAGTGGATTGAATTGTGTTTTCAAATGTTCCTCCAGCTAGCTTCAGTACAGAGTACCATACATATGTGAATACGCATCGCTTATCTTCATGAGCGTTGTGCAGCAGCTTCTACCCATACAGTGGTGCGCCATTGGCCAGAATGGGTAGTGATGGAGGGGGAGCGCTTTGGATTTCATGTTCCAGTTTGCGTTTTCGGCTTCGTTTTTGAATTTTTGTTTTGCTCTGTAAAACATTTTGTGTGTCTCTTTGTATTGTACTTTTTTAGCGTGCACTCCAGTTCGATATTATATTTTCTTTGTATCTTTTTAATCCTTTTTAGAGTGTGCATGACTATATATACTTTCCTCGAATCTTAATTTAGTTTCAGAGTTTTCGTCTTGAAATTCTTAGTTCCTGCATTGCGGTTTGTTCTTATAGTGTTTGCATAAATTGAAGAATTATTTCCTATGTTGTGATTGAGAGGTTATGTTGGGGGAGGGGGGCGATGACAACTTCTACATTGGCTCAAGGGGGCGATTCGTTCAAAAAGGTTAAGAACCACTGATTTAGACCCTAATTATCTCACAGTTGGACTACTGCAATGCGCTCTATACGGGGCTACCCCTGAAGAGTATTTGGAAGCTACAGCTAGTGAGAGTGCAGCGAAACGGTTTCAAAGAAAAACAAGGTCCAGTTGCCTCCTAAAAAGCATGTTTGGGACAACTGCAACTAGGAAAGCAGGGAACACAGTCATTGAGTAAAATAGTCATGTAGCATCTCGCTTAATGACAATTTTGCTCAACAACTAATATTATGGGCCCAATTGTGGTTGTAATTGGAGGACTACCTATATGTGTTTGATACAGACAAAGAAATGTTCAAATTCTTTGTAAAACTGAACTGGTTAGTAAATGAGAACACTCTGATTTACCATTCCAAAATCAGTTGCTGCAGCTCCCAGGACTGGGATAAATCTCAGTTTAATTAGGGCTGGCCACAACTGTTTCTTGAAGATCATCCAGATCTTTTGAATTAAGAAATGCAAGTTAAAAAAATGAAAATAGAGAGACATATCATACATATGTTTTGGATACATACGACTTGTATAAGAGCTTGATTTTTCCTTGTAAACATCATTCAGCCGTACATATTCACCCAAGGCAAGAGCCAGCCTCTGCTCTTTCACATGGAAAAGTTCTTTCTTAGTGCTAAGTGCATCTTGAGCTACAGTAAGATAATCTTTTAACATTTTTTCTTGTTCTTGTCGCCACTGTTTTCTTGGATCTTCTATTTGTGTAGTTTCTATAAAGATACAACAACAAAAGCTTCCGTTCAGTTAAGACTCCTTAAATCTGTGTCTTAAGTCTAAAAAAAAACCACAAAAAACTCAACGTCCACTTTTATTTTGGTACATGCATAAGAAACAAATTGTTATTAGGTGTTGGCATGTTAAACTAAGTTATTTATCAAATACCTTAGGAAAACATTTGTACGTCTTAGAGAAAAGAGTCAGTTTTACTTGTATTTTTGATACATATTTTAAATTGATTCAAACAGTATATTTTCAACTTAGACCAGCCAATAATAATGCTTTTTAAAAATTATTTGTAAATAGCTTTATTTCTTGCTCCCTATTTCTTTTCTTTGTTTCATTAGAATCGTACTATTTAGGAAAGTAGCAAAATGAAGCAGACTTTAATAGAGAAAATAAAAGTGCCATCATTCAACCATACTGGAGAAGTGTGTGCATTTGTGTAGATGAAATTGTCTGTTTATCTTTTGCAAGAATATGTCTGGAGAGTTCATTCAGACTGGAGTCCATATAAATCACAACTGTATCAACCCAAAATGCTTTGTAAGCACTGGCATATGCTTGTGTATAACAGCTGTTCACCCAAGCAGATTGAAAGGATCAAAAAGGAGGGACAATTCCATCATCAATCCAGCAACTTTTGTTTTGTAATAAGATCAAAGCTTCAGGAAATCTAGTGTGTGTCTGTACCTCATTTGCTTCCCATCTTTGCTACTGGAAATGAAAATAAATGGAAATAAAAATATTATTTCTCTTATTGTTAAATAAAACAACTATAGACGAAAGAATTCTGAAACTGCACTGAAAATCTAGAGATTAAAATACCATATATTTAGATATTCAGCACTGAAGAAAACTATTAGTAAACTTTAAACATTGCCCTATAAAAATTGCATTCTTAGATTAAAAATGAGTGCCAACTTGTTCAATGTAAACAGATTCCCAGGTAATACAGAAGGACATATACAATACAGATTTTGTCTTTATTAGTAAATCACTAGAAATGCATGACAGAGCTTCAGTTGGCTCCCCTTAACTCTGCTATTTAAAAAAAAAAGTTTTAAAAGAATTCAACTCCTAGAGAATTTCAGAGAATGATTCAAATTTCTAATAGATTTCAGTCAATGAGTTCAATTTCAGCTGATGAAAAGCATTATAGCATATAGCTCTTAGGAGATATTTTACATCTTCACAACTCCAAAGAAGCAATTAATCTAAGTTACTGATTTAAGTTCTTATCACTTCAATAACATTAGTTACATGTCCGCCACTAAGACACTTTTCTCTACTTTTGACTACTTAAATTATCTAGTGCAAACAGTAATGTAAATATGCTACACTAGTCTTTAAACATATGTTTGGTTAGTTTCTGCTATAGCAGAGAAAGGTCCCTGGTGGTAAAAACTGCCAATAACATTTGACAGTTCCACACACTTAATCTTTCTAGTGCTACATTTTGATGTGAATTCAAGAGGCAAATGAAAATAAGACAGTAGCTCTAAAGAGAGTGAGAGTGATAATCAGAATGTTTCTTCTTTGTCAATGCTAATAAAATATATTTTAGGTGTGCACATTTCTATGGAAAGTTCCTTCAAAATTCAAAGAAATGGAGAAAGAAACCATTTGCATTTATACAAGTTCATAAAAGAAAAGCCAACTCAACTTTCTAATGTTGACTCCTAAGTGAAATAAAGTATTCTTCTTTATATATATGTTATAAGCGTGTGTGTGTGAAAATGAAAGTACATCCTGTTTTAGTTCTATGATTTTATATATCAGGACATAGTAAAAATAATCTAGTTCTTAGCAGTTCTTAAAAATAGGTAAATACCACCTCAGATGAACAACAACACATATTACACCATATCATAATTTATTTTACAAAAAGAAAGCCAAAATGGAGAAGCCATGTGTGAAAAACTAAGTTCACCTTGTGATTCAATAGCTTGTAGAACCACCTTTAGCAGCAATAACCTGAAGTAATTGTTTTCTGTATGACTTTATCAGTCTCTCACATTGTTGTGGAGGAATTTTGGCCCTCTGTTCTTCAAAACATTGCTTCAGTTCATTGAGGATTGGGCATTTGTTTATGTACAGCTCTCTTGAGGTCCTGCTACAGCATTTCAATAAGGTTGAGGTCCTGATTTTGCCTGGGCCACTGCAACATCTTGATGCTTTTCTTTTTCAGCCACTCTGTTGTAGATTTGCTGGTATGCTTGGGATCATTGTCTTGTTGCATGACCCAATGTCAGCCAAGCTTTAGCTGTGAGACAGATGGCCTCACATTATACTCTAGAATAGGAGTTCATGGTCAACTCAATGGTGCCCAGGTCCTGTAGCTGCAAACCAAGCCCAAATCATCACCCCTCTACCATTGTGTTTGACAGTTGGTAGGAGATGTTTGTGCTGATATGCTGTGTTTGGCTTTCACAAAATGTGGCACATGCATTATGGCCAAACATCCCCACTGTTCCAATGAATCCGGATGGCAGGCCTGAATTAGTATCACAACCTAATATAGTTCAACTCATCCTGCTGAAAATTATCTTTCCCTCTTGCTGCAACTGTTATTTTTTGTAAGAAGACAAAACAAAAAAAAGACCTTCTCAATTTCAATAAGGAGAAAGATTTTGAGGAAGAACAGAGGGGAAAACTCCAAGGTCTATTTTGGATCCCATCTTCCACAAGCAGGATTTTATAACTTTTTTTAAAAAAAAATGGTTCCACATATCTCTTGTCAAATCTAATTTAGGGTTGAAACCTGACTGCCCAAGACTAATAATAAAATAAAAATAAAAAGATTGCAAGGGTATCCTCCTATTTTATCCTATTCCACTTTCTCATAAGATTTCAGCCCTTTTTATCCTAAACTTTGAACTTATTGAGAATGAGCATAGTGTAGTGGTTAGAATATCCAAATAACAGTTGGAGAATCCCAGCTTCACAAAGTTCATTGGAAATATTTGGAACATGCTGCCATGAGAATAAAAATCAAATCATGCAGCGGTGCCTATGTAGCCTAAAGTATTCTGGAATAAAGATAAACAGAAATAATATTATTCTTCCACTGCAATTCATTCCTCTATCAGAGGGCTAGTAGAATTATTCTGATATTGCAAAAAGAAACAATGGGAGTTAAACTTTGAAAGATAGTTTCAATGGAAAATAGGGTCTCCCTCTCTAGAATTTTGTTATATACTCTTGAGATTTTTAGCTGCTCCCTTAGAATCTTCTGAGTAAGCAGTTAAATCTTAGGTAAATCAATCAATTCTTTATTTCAGCATAAAAACAAGCAAAGCAAAACAGAAACCATCTAGGAATCACGCCATACAGAGAGCATCAATTTTGATTACTTTCTATTTGTGGGTATAATATACAGCGAGTTTGGTGAGGTGGTTAAGGCATTAATTTAGAAAGTGGTAGGCTGTGAGTTCTAGTCCTGCCTGAGGCACAAAGCCACCTGAAAGACCTTGGGCCAGTCACTTTCTCCCAGTCCTAGGAAGCAAGCAATGGTGAACCACTTCTGAAAAACCTTATCATGAAAACTGAAGCGACTTGTCCAGGCACTCACTAGGAATCAACAGTGATTTGAAGGTACAAATATAGTGTATATATAGTATTATATCTATATAATATATAGATATAATAATATACTATTGTTAAACAAAAGGGACCTAAAAATTTTGCTTAGAATAACCTACAAGCTGAGAGTAAAATTACAATGTTGTTTAAAACAGTGACTTTATCAGTAACCAAAATTACATAGCAAAAGTCTGGAAATACTCAGATGAGGCCAGCTCTGTCTAGTTTTAATAGTTGTAGGGCACAATTTAGCAATATCCAAAACGTACAGTCTTATTGGTCTGAAAGGAGGATCTGCATGTACAAATACCTGGGGTATTTTGATATATGAAGGTAAATGAAATAAGCCTGAATTCCTTTTTTTTCAGTTTCAAGTTTTTTATTAATTTTACAATATTACATTTACATATTTGAAAAGTAGCGTGGTGGCTGAGCACAGTAATTCCGTTACATTTGAATATCAGTACAAATCTCAAATTATTACAACAAACTAATTCCCTCTCTTTCCCCCATGATATCTACTGTCATGTTCAAACCAATACAGTTCTTATTCTATTAATCAAACAAAAAATACTTTCTAATATTCATCAATAATCTTCAGTCTATACATATCTTAATTAATTTGACATTCCACCTTTTAGACAATAACCTAGTAAGTTTTTCTTAACTTTAATTTGCCATTGATATTTAAGTTTAACGTTTAATCTTTATCATTTCCAGGTTTTAAATGATTCCAATTTCTAAGTCTCCTATCTCACATTTGGAGCTAATATTTTTCTTTTCTTTTCTTCCTTTCACTTCCTTCCTTTCTTCCTTTCCAGAAAGAGAAAAAAAATTGAAAATAAACCTACATTTATACCACAAACCCATAAACAAATTTAATTATTAGTACTTATACTTTTAAGTTTTATTAACCTTTGCCTCAACTCATAACAATATCTTAAATTCAAATCTTAATTATTTGTAGACGTTCAGATTACATTTAATATTTAATTTTTCCAAATTTTAATTAAACACAATTCCTTTATCGGAATTGCTCATACATTCTAATATTTAAAATACACACCTTATATATAACTTCTACCCTCTATCTTACCCATGTAATGACAATATAATATTCTTATTTCAACATATTTCTAGATTTTATATGACCAAAATTTTCTTTATCTCAAATCATTACAATGTCTTTTCAGAATACATATTATATCTATTTAGATATATTCTATTTTAGATCTCATATATAGATCAGAACCCCAATCTTTTTCAATCTTATTCTAGCTTTTTTCCTCTGCCAAGTCATTTTTCGTATTTTTGCCTTTAAATCATCAAAAAAATCTCCTTGTATTGTTGTGGCTATTGTTTGATGTTGATAAGAACATCCAGTTGATATTTTCTTAACAGGACTTGA